CAAGGACCGGACGACTGCAAATTCTTCAGGTGGGCCGACAGTGGAACTATTTCTACGTGCTCCCAATTGGACACAACTGCTAGGAGTTCAACAGTGCCACAACAAGAGAACGCCACATGCGGTTCGAGTTCTTCAGTTTCTAGAATATCGCAGTTGGACAAGTTTGCTCGGGGTTTTGGAGTGTCAGATGCAGGTGGCATGGGTCGTGATATGTTGCTACATTATAAAGTCAACATTATCATATTTCTACTGTTCATTTTAACAAGTTATTTTTTTTTCTTTATGGGCTCTTATTATACTATGTAGTAGTATGTACATGTGTGTTTGACTTTTGTATGTGTAACATATTCGTTTGATATGATCGGATATGCTGTAGTTATTTGAATATAACTCAATTTTTTGGTATTTTCTTCTCTGAATATTTATCTTTAATTTTGTTTAGAGAAGAATAGATTCTGCTGCACAGATTGTACATTTAAAGAAAAATAACTTCCAAATAAGCTGTTTACAAAACGCACTAACCAAACAGCTAAACTGCTTATTCAGAACAGGGGCAAAAAGGTCAATTTTTCACAATCAGCTGTTTTCCATAAGCGTCAACCAAACAGCCAGACAGCTTATCCGGATCAGCTGCTCATCAGCAGATTATCAGGATAAGCTGCTTATCAGCAAAAGCTGGATAAGCTGCAGCTGCCCCAAACAGACCCTAAGTAGCTACATATAATATTCTAGCAAACTTCAATTTACAGCGAATGACCGGTTTAACTAGTTTACATGTTAGGCTTCATTCTACCTACAAAACTAAGAAAAAAAAAATGGTGTAGCCAGAGATTGCCTTAATCAAAAAGAAATAATACCCAAGGAAAACAAAGATACGGAGATAAAAAGATAATAAGTTCAAAATCAAGAAAATAAAAAAACCAAGTTAATGGTTAGGTAAAAAATTAAATACAAGATTTTTTCTCAAGTCTGCTTCCCAAAATGCTAATTTTGATAGCAATGGAACCCAGAATCCTTACCCCATTCTCATAAAGAGCCTTCAAGGGAGCTTGGTAAATCCTAGCAAGTCCAAAATCAGCAATCTTTACAACTCCTTGTTCCTCCCCTTCACCCATCACCTGACTTAAGTAGATCAAAATAAATGACTGCCAGTATTTAGAGAAAAAAAAATGAGCATGCACCAAAATGATAAGCTGCTAGAACAAACCAATATATTAGAAGGCTTGAGATCACGATGAATAATCCAATTGCTGCAGCCAAAGATTTGAATGAAGCTTAGTTATCAAAAAGGAATAATTCATCTAATGAACACATAACCACATCTAACCAAAAACATATTAGTTGAATCCTACTCTTGTTATGACTACACATACAAAATATGAATATGCAAACACATGACAAATCCCACCTGTGCAGATAGTTCAGCCCATTTAGCAGCTGCCAGAGCAATGACTTGACAGTATACTGATTAATAGAATGGTTAAGCTTCTCACGATGATATCTTATGATTTCCTGCAACATGGAGTGCGCTGGGTGATAGATTGCAGCAAATACACAATGTTGAAGAAAATAATGCACATGCCTCGCCTTCGTAAGATATAGGGCTAGAAAACAGCCACTCAGCTAGTAAGAAAATAGTCGCCCTTAGTTATAAGCCAAATGAGCACAGCTTGAAAAGAAAATAGTATGAATACAACTGTTTGAACATATCTGCATAGACACATTAAAAAGATAATGCCCCAAAGATCCAGGAAAAGCCTTGTACTGCTCTTCACAGGATCCAAAAACCCTGATACCCCTATCTCAGTTTTATATTTACCGCGTCCTGTACCACTCACAATCAATTTAATTAGTGTCATGCTCTGCCAACTACAGAATTTTATCATGACATGCCATATTACACAACTTGTAGTGAAATCAAGTTATCAAATATGTTTATGGAATCCTAATGTATAAGCATTTCCAAGCAAAATGCTGCGAATTGTAATAGGAAATCCCGCATATTTAAAGCACATTGTTAAGTAATTAAAAGATGCCCACACAAAGAAAAGCTAAAGTTACACTGATTGAATTGGACTATGGCATGAGAAAAATTGGGGATCTCGAATCCATCGAGAAGAATGTGAGAGAAAGAGAGAGAATAAAATTAGCTTGCAATTGCTCAATATTCAAGCCTGTCAACACACAAGCCTCCCTTATAAAAGGATTGAGCAACTACAGGAAAGCACAAACAAAGAAAGTAATTCAAGAGAAAAAAAGATGAATCAATTGGGATCTTTGATAAACATGAATATGAAAGAATTTGCTAAAATCAGATCATTTCAGTACAAAACAAAATTAAAAAAGCAATATTTCACAAGTGGTTTGAATGACATATCAAATACTGATGAAATGGTGCTTTTTGTTGATGTTGTGTTGCATTATCCCCTCCTGAGAAAAAGAACTCTTTGCTTGAGGGTGTAGACCAAGATAGTCCTCTAATAGAGTAGAGGCGACACACCGTAGCTCTTTAATAGACAGCAAAGTATCTACAGCATATGGGAGAAACTACCAGAAAATAAAAATTGTGTTGTCCTGTAGAGCCAGTAATGATATTATCAATGATGATCTACTCCAAATCACCTATAAATGGCAAGGCGGGAATACTAGCGATCAATGTTAGAGAAACCTCATCTGCACTAACATTAATGGGCAATACAGTGAGGTTCAAAATTTTCTACAAATGATTTCTTCAGTATTGAAAACAATACTAATATGGCAGTTAAATGAATCAACAAAATAAGCATTATATCCTTTTTTTCTGAATTTTAAAGGGACCAAGAGAATGAGCATAGAGTTTCTTCAAAGACTTGATGGGAGAGAGTTCTAAATGCACCCAATCCAAACATGATCTCCTGGATGAAATTTGCAAAATATTTTGATTAACATTAGCAAAAAAGTGTACACATTTCAGTTTGTAAAACAATATAACTTTTTACATGAGTATGCAATTTATGCCTATATTCAAAAAAACTAAAGGAAAACAAAAAATAGTATAGGTGGTAGCCTGGTAGGTAAAGTCATAAGCCCGGTGAGGAAGCAAGGTCTTGTACCAGAAATAATTCAAAGAAGCTACCAGTAATTTGCAAAAAATTTTGATTAAAATTAGCAAAAAAACGTACACATTTCAGTTTGTAAGACAGTATAACTTTTTATATCAGCATGCAATTTATGCCTATATTCAGTAAAACTAAAAGAAAACAAAAAATAGTATACGCGGTACCCTGGTAGGTACAGTGATAAGCCCGGTGAGAAGAGCATGGTCTTGTACCAGAAAAAATTTAAAGAAGTATCCAGTAATTCTATTTGGAGCGAAATTATAAGCAACTTGAGATATACAACAACAACAAAGCCTTCATCCCACTACGTGGGGTCGGCTAGTGTAAAGTCACTCATTCACCTAATCATTCTCATCTCGGCAACACTTAACTTAGTATTATGTTTCTCTTTTAAAGGCCAACATTCAGCGCCACAAAGCATTGCAAGTCTCACCATCTTATAAAATTTTCCTTACAGTATAAGCAGAACATTTCTATCACACAAAAGGCCAGAAGCATTCCTCCACTTCAACCAACCAACTTTCAACCAACCAACTTGAATTTTAATAATAGGTAAATACATACCACTCAATACATAATGTATTTACATAGCTAACCTCTATGCTTCAATTTTTATAAAGATTTCATATTTTAATAAT